ATTTACATATATAACATTCAATTTATTTGTATTTTATATCTAACACACACAAACTTTATAATTACTTATATTACACGTTAGTATCGAAATCACATCAAAGCATATGCTTTAAAAGTGCACTTCAGATAAATGTTAGTGGTATTTTTTATGTGATTAAGATAAAATGGTTGACCTATATTATGCTCAGAGCGGATAATTACATTCACAAAAATTCATAATATATATATATATATATATATATATATATATATAGATATAGATATAGATATAGATATAGATGTATTCATATAATGAAATTTCTAGGAAATTTTTAATCCACAAGCAAGCCATACAATCTTATCCATCTTTTACCCATGCGAGATATTCAAACGCAACAAATTTGTTTCTCAGAAAGTTAAAGGAATCCAACACAAATTCCTTTCTATATTTCATCATATTGTTAAGAAGGGAAATCAACTTAGTGCTTTCATTTCAATAAAAGTAACAAAAAAGGACAACAAAAACACGAAATTTATGTGAATTCAATCGACAAACTTTCTCCACCTCTAATGTGCTCCCGAATATTGTTTTGAATAGCAAGTTATAAATTTCACATTTCAAGAGTACATCCAAAACAAGCAACGTTCCATGCATGTAATTTCTTCTTTCTTTTCTTTTCTTTTTTTATCTCTTTTGTAAGCCCATCCATGCATCAGAACTCCAAGTTGGGTCTGACTGTATACGTGGCAAGCTTTAATTAAAGTGCTGATGTAAAACTGCATCAGGATACAATAACTTTTTCGATTTGAGGAGGCTTTATCTTTCAAGGAAGACCGTTTAAAATCTAAATTTGAAAAAGCTTCCTTTTTAAATTTTGGTTTTGTATGATGCGAAAATAAAAAAATGCCATTTTAAGCCCAATCGTTCATAATGAAACTGTGAAACTGTAGTACTTTTGACAAGGCCATGTATAAGTGACCTCAATTTGGCTTATTCCCACTTACAGTTGATTTTATGGCTAGCAACTCGATTATGACGCTACTGTCGCTCTCTTAGTTAGCCTTTTTAAAAGATGAACGAGTGATTTTTGATGATTCCCCATCTTGCAAATACAATCTCTTAAAAATAACACATAGTTGTTTCCATCTTATAGGTTAAAATGTTTTTTATTAATGGATTAATACACGCAAAAATAATTAAATTTCATAAGAGACATTAAGGTTTTTCAAAGTTAAAATTTTGGAATTGGAAAAATCATAGATAAAGCAAACCACTATATATGGTTTATTAGCTAATATTGGAGAAGCATCAAGCAACGAATAGTGTCTGAGTCGAAGATGCTCATCAAGTGGTGACAGCTAGAGGATAAAAATATAGTGATGAAAGTTGGGAGATGGCAGTTAGACCGTTATGATCAAGAAATGATTGTCACTTTATGACAATCAAAATGAAGACGGTAAAACAACCGAAAGAGTAATTTATTCATTCTATTCAAAAATTTTGATTACTCCATCGAATTTTCTTAGAAAATAAAATATTTTAATGACATTAAAATTAGGTAATCTTTATGTTTATTAGATTTCCTTTTGACTTTAAATATTTAGAAATTTGAGAACGTTAGATCCTTTCTAAGCAGTGTGAAGAAATTTGTACTCATGCTTTCAATGGTTGGATTTGGGGAGATTGGGACTAAGATTGCTTTGTGTGAAGAAATTTGTACTCATGCTTTCAATGGATGGATTTGGGGATGTTGGGACTAAGATTGCTTTGTCTTGGTGCCGCTGAATTTATCTTCATAAGCTATTTGTTTCTACTATAAAATTGTTATTGTGAAAAGCAGGGCTGTAAATTTGTGGAAGCAAAAGCTCAATTTGTCCCAAAGTCAATACCGAAAGCATATCGTTCGCATTTTCTTGCATTAAGATCTGTTCCGAATTGGTCGATTGTCTCGGTGACGGGTCAAGCTTTTGCCATAATCTTTTTTTTTCAAGATCTAAGATTCCTTTAAGCAGTATATTGTTTACTTCCACCATTCAAAATAATATACTATTATTATTATGTCATTTTTAGATCATTTTTATCAAAATAGTGATATTTTTATTTGAAATGAAAGATTTGGGTGATATAAATCTAAAAAAAGGTAAATTTTAGGTGTTTGACATGTAAATATGTCGGAATTGGGTCTTATCACTTATGTACGTAAATGCCCCTTAAATTTTAAAGTTGGCTAATAATAAAATTTTGGAATATTTACATACATACCACTCAATCCTAATGCATTTACATACCTAACACCTAGATTTCAATGTTTACTATTATTCCATCTTTTATATGTATATATTTCTGAAAGCTCGAAGGCAAGTATATTAATAAAGGAAGGTACAAGGGGTTTAGTGAGTGGGTACAGGTGCCTACTCATAAGGTATACAACTCACTTAGAAGTGTCTAAAAAAGTACAATATTCCATCTTACATATATATGAAACTATATGTTTTTAAATTTTCAAAAATTAAAATTGTGGTATTTTTTATCTGAATGAATGATTTGGATGATATAAATATAAGAATGCAATGTTTAGGCGCTAGAAATCATATAAATACATGAGAACTGGCGGGAGTGCGCAGAACCAACATTATTTTTAAGGTTAGATAAAATCACAAAATATAAAATTTTTATCAAACACTACATATAAAAAAAGTATATTGATGCGAGCAAAATTACTAATTTGCATAAACAATATTAAAAAATATATATTAAAATTTACTATAACTTGTTTCTCTAATTATGGTATTTTTAGCAACAACTTTTTTTGTTTCAAAAAAAAGGAAAAAAAAAAAAGAAAAAAAGAAACGGTTCCTCAATTATGAGTCATGACATCACATATTTCTTGTGCGCATGGGGGTGCATGGCGGACAGCCAATTTAGCTAAAGAAAGCTAATACGTATTGCATGAGTATTTATGATATGACCTCATCAAAAAGGCCTACATATCTATCCAAGCACTCCTTCCCAACCTTTCCTTCGTCTATTCCAACATGCTCCCCACACGCATCCACTTGGACGAGCACCGTAGGATTCATTTATTAAGATATTACACATAGAAAATTCATACATTATTTATGAATGTTGCCCCCTTTCATCCCCAGGCCCCACATTTTCATCCAAATAATAATAATAATAATTTAATTATGATCTTCTTTTTTCGCTTAATTACAAAATTGCAAGTCCCCCTTTTTTTAAAATTCATAAAATTGCCATCAAGTATGTTTAAAATTATTAATTGATTATCTTCGTGCAAAATAAAATAAAATATCTTTAAATATGATGAAACATTTTTTTTTAATTTTTAATAAAACATATTAAGGGTCTGTTTGGGACAGTTTATTTGGTGCGGTAGCGTTTTGAAAACACACCTGAGATGTTTGGGTAAACTGTGTTTTGACAGCTTATGCGTTTTCACACTGCACCTGTCTAGGTGCTGTGACAGCTTTCTGGTTGCAGTCTGGCTTTTCCAAAAAAAATAAAAATTTGTAATAGCTACCGCACCTAACTTATCAGTAGATTATTTTTAATCAGCTTATCAGCGGAGTATTCAATAAGCTGCAGCTGCCCCAAACAGACTTTAAATATCCTAATCAACTAGCCCGGGTGCTTTTTTTTTTGTTTCGTTTAATATTTATATCTTTGTATTAATCGATATTAAGATATTGATATTAGGATGATTATGTTCCACGCATACAAATTGAAATGCATTAACAATTTCTAATTGGGCTAACCTCCCCTAATAAATAATATAAGCATGCTCTCTACACATTTAAGAAAACATAAATATTTTTCAACGTAATTTATGTATTTTAAATTGTATGAGTTAAGATAGTGACCCATAAATTTTAGTGGTGCGTGTATGTACTATTAATATTACGTTTTAATAAATTAAAACACATGATTTGTATATATTGATAGGTTCAAGAAAATGAGAGGTTTTAATTAGGTTAGAAATTTTCTTATATATTTAAAAGTAATTTTGCATAGGAATGTTTATGTTATGTATGACAAATTATATGAAATGAATTTTAAAAATTGCAGTAATGTTCCGTAAAAGAAGACATTTTTTTTTTTTTCAAATTTATAACAAAATATTTTTTGTAGTAATTTCTCATACCCCATTTTTATATTATAACAAATCATGTATAATACTTTATAAAGCTCAACATATTTAGGGTCTGTTTGAGGAAAAATTATTTCATACGGATCGGACACTGCACGCGGTTTGTGTGCGGTGTCCGATCCAGACCGTAAATCACCTGATTTATGGTCCCAATGTATTTCGGTGGACCCCACCTAACATTTTTTTTAAAAAAAATAGAAATAATCCTGACCGTAGATCACCGTGATCTACGGTCAAGATGAACACCGCATGCAGAGATGCATGCGGTGTCCATACGCAATAATTTCTCCTGTTTGATACAGTTATGACTAGTTGTTTGAAGAAACTTTTGTCAAGTTGTTATAAAAGAAATTATTGTTTAAAAAGTTGTAGTGGCTATTATAAATTTATTTTATTTTTTCTTGCAGTTGGTTTAAGTTACAAAATACAGGTTCCCACCGAAAATTTGTTTAAGAAAACATGCAAAACACAGTTTTACCAAATATTTCGCACCGCAACCTTAATAAGAGAACATAATTCAGGTGAGAAATTCTTATTTAAAAAATTTGTATTTGCTTATTATGTTGAATTAGATTTTGTGCATAAACTAAATAATAATTGCAAACCAAAAATAGTTTAATCTAATTTAATCAATCAGCATTCAAAATCTTCATAATATTTATTTTAAATTAAATTTAAAAATTTTAGAACTGATGCTGACTAATATTTGGATATTTTTTGCAGCAGTAAACAATGTCATCTAAAAATCACAGAGAGCCGTTTCTGGCAGGCCAAACAGTGTTCCCCTGCTCCACCAAGCAGATAAATACTCGTCATCAAACCGGCAACAAGAATGTCTTCAGTCTTCTCCATCCCCATTCTCCCCCCTTATAAATCCTCAACCCACCTTTCTTTGTCTCTTCACAGGTATCCTTTCTTCTTCTTCTACTTCTTCTTTTTTATATCATTATCGCCATTGATAACACATAAACCATGTGTCAATCCTCCGCCCCGCTCCCCAAATCCTCATCCTCCTCCTCCGACCACCACCCTTCTCCAACCCAATTACCCTTCCCCCTCTCCAATCTCTTCTTAGACTCCTCCCCTCCGAGCAGCCATGAAACCCCCTCCTTCAACCCCAAGCTCCCAACTTCCTTCCCTGCTTCCCTTTTCCCCGAAGCAAAATCTCTCCTTTCTCTCTCCCTCCCCCTCATCCTCACCTCCCTTCTCCTCTACTCCCGCTCCATGATCTCCATGCTCTTCCTCGGCCGCCTCGGTCCCCTCCCTCTCGCCGGAGGTTCCCTCGCCATCGGCTTCGCTAACATCACTGGCTACTCTGTTCTCTCTGGTCTCGCCACCGGAATGGATCCCATCTGCACTCAATCCCACGGCGCTGGTCGCCCCCACCTCCTCTCCACCGCCCTCCGCCGCACCATCCTCCTCCTCCTCCTCTCCTCTCTCCCCATCTCCTTCCTCTGGCTCTCCATTCGTCCCCTGCTTCTCCTCGCCAAACAACACCCTTCACTCGCCTCCGCAGCCCACTCCTTCCTCATATTCTCCCTCCCTGATCTCATCCTCCAGTCCTTCCTCCACCCCATCCGCATCTTCCTACGTTCCCAATCCATCACACTTCCCCTCACCACCTCCGCCGCCTTCGCCGCCGCCTTCCATTTCCCCATCAATCTCCTCCTCGTCTCCTATCTAAACCTCGGCGTCCCCGGCGTCGCCCTTTCATCCCTCTTCACCAACTCCATTCTCCTCCTTTTTCTCATCCTCTACCTCCACTTCTCCGGTCTCCTTACCTCCCTTCCCGACAAACAAGACAAAGAAGATTGCGGCTGGCGCGCCCTCATCTCCCTAGCCATCCCCAGCTGCTTCTCCATCTGCTTAGAATGGTGGTGGTACGAAATCATGGTCCTTCTATGCGGTTATCTTCTCCATCCACAATCTACCGTTGCTTCCATGGGAGTTCTCATTCAAACCACCTCTCTAATCTACATTTTCCCTCACTCGCTCAGCGCCGCCGTGTCGACTCGGGTTGGCAACGAGCTCGGAGCAAACCGGCCGGAGAATGCCCGATGGGCCGCACGGGTCGGGTTATCGTGCGGCGGGTTGCTTGGTCTGACCGCATTCTTGTTTTCATTCTCCGTGCGGAACATTTGGGCTCAGATTTTCACGGCTGATGTGGAGATTGTGCGGCTCACCGCATCGGTTTTGCCTATTTTGGGACTATGCGAGCTCGGAAATTGTCCACAGACGACGGGGTGCGGTGTGCTGCGGGGTAGCGCGCGGCCGCGGGTCGGGGCGAATATAAATCTCGGGTCATTTTATGGGGTCGGGATGCCGGTGGCCGTTGGGCTGGCGTTTTGGGCCCGGTTGGACTTTAAGGGACTTTGGTTCGGGCTGCTGTCGGCCCAGAGTACGTGTCTATTTCTCATGCTGTTTGTTATTGGCCGCACGAATTGGGAGAGCCAGGCGGTACGTGCCAAGGGGCTCACTAGTGGGGCTGAGGTGATGTTGGGTGAAATGGAAGTGGAGGAGGAGGAGAATATCAAACTGATTAACATTAAGATTGAGCAGTGTAAGCAAGTGGTTTGAAGTTTGAGCTTCTTTTCTCCTCCTGAGATTGGAGGAGATGAAAAAAATGAATTAAAAATACCAGTTTTTAATTATCTTTTCTATATTTTCATATGAAATGACAATATGTTTTTTTGTGGGATTTTAGTTTAGTTAGGTTTCAGATATTGGAATTGATCTACTAAGTTTTTTACATGAGGGGAACTAATTTTTATTTATGTTCAACCCCTTTAGGAGTAATATGTAATAATAATAAGATGGAACCATCTCAAGGAATATGGTTACATTTTTATGTTATATGAAAAACATCATGAGCTACCTTTCATATAATTTTCTTTTAAATATTTTTTTTAAGACTATTTTCTTCATATATATTGTTGATGTATGTTTTTTTTTTTTAAATAGTTTACACATTTGTATTTGGAGGAAGATTTTGATAAAAAAATTCATGACGATTGTTTTTTCTTTGACAAGGCGGACTTGTTAAGAACTATAATATAGAATAATGACTTCTGAAACTCGATCAAATATTTAAAAAGAATGTAAAATCAACAATTATATGGTGGTATATTGTTATATAATCAATAATGAACACATATTTAATATCATCTATATTATATATGTTATATATCAATTGTGTGTGTGTGTGTGTGTGTGTGTGTGTGTGTGTG